GAGAATCGTGAAAATTATTGCAATTACACTCCGCGTAATTAAATCCTTGGTTCCGAATAATCCGCGGAAAGAATAATCAGGTTCAAAAGCGATATTGATAATGATATCGAGAAAATTAATATCTTCTTCATATGAATATACATATATATAATCCGAAAAATTGTATAAAATTTTAATAGGATGAACCATAAAATTTTTATTCAAAGATTATATTGTTTTCCATTAATTTTATTCAAAGAAGATAAAATACGAGCTTATATAAATAGGCAGATTTTATTAAAATGAATGACACAATGCACCAGTTTTGGCTCTGCGGAATATTTAATCAGTTAAATTTAGAGAAAAAATTTTCGTTAAAAAATATATATCTGCATTTTTGAAATAATAACGGAATCACGTAAACGTAGCAAATGCGTTAATAAAATTCAATGTGCAATAATGTATACGGTTTTTACGGTCTACTTGCAGTTTATTTTACTCTCGGATGCAATGTGATCTTTAAAGATACGAGTTACGAGCGAGATATATCTTTCCGCCACCCCAAATAAATCCCATGCAATAAAATCCATTCACATCGACGACTAACATTTTATATTACGTGAAAGCATCACGCAAGATATTATTTTAAAAGACCGTACACACGACTCGCGATAAATATTAACAATTTTGCGGCGGATGCATAAGCATTCGCAGACTTATTAACGCGGCGTTATGAAAATCCCCGATGAAAAAGTAAATTGTTCTCTCAATTCAGCGATTTGCATTTTATTTAAAAATGACCTCCCATGATATGCGCGTTTTGTTATTGTCATGACACCCAGTGCCGATATATCTATGTTAGTGCATCATAAAATTCCACAGAAAATAAAACCTGGCATGTACAATTTGAACATTTTCAAAATTAAGGTAAAATTGTAAAATTATTCAAAAAGAAGCAAATTCACAATTTTAAAAATAAAATAAATAAAAATTTAAGTGTTTAATTCAGAGATAAATATAATAAAAATTCCAGAAAATTTTATCTTGAAATATACTAAATTACAAAAAGAAAAAATATCTCGATATCAAAAGGCAAAAAAAATTATACAGAGAAATTTTAAAAAATTCAAGGCTTCCGAATATGCTCGAGATTTTTTCCGACATATGCGCATTTTAATTATTTCGAAGGGGGGGTGGAAGACTATTCATTTTCTTTTTTCGAGAAAACTCGATTAGATCCGTTAGATGAACAAGAGGAGCGTATAATTGAACGGTGCTCGAGCGAAGAAAAAAAATCCCCGCGCGAATAGTTCAGACAACGATTCACTCGGTATGAGATGTCAGTCAAATTCGGTTTGCACCAACGTCGGCGTGTGTTAAGCTGTCTTCGTGCTGACGGGTTAACGTCGGCAGGATGTCACGCGAGGCGAATAAAGCTCCTAGGAGCCTTGCTTCTGTGGAAATTAACGCGTCACGACTTCATCGTGTTTGATAGGATGCATCTAACTCCATTGCACCGCAGGAAGGTGCGAAGCAACGGTAATGACGATGGTGATGTGCGTACGTCGAAATGCAAGACGCTCTAAAAGTCACGCAACCCTCCTCGATAAACGAAACTCGACTTAACATTATGCGGCTATAATAATTACGATCCACTTAATTTTATAGAGGAGATCAATCATACACTGATTAGGTGTATGCGAAAGAATATAATCATTTAGTATTTAAATTGTATAATCGAAGCATCAGAGTCAAACTTGAAACATCTATTTCGCGAAATTATTTGCGAATCTCTTGGTCTAGAAATATATCTGTGTTATGTCCCACGGAAACAATTACGATGAATATTTTATTTTCGATCTATTTTCGAACACACTGGCTACGTTTCCTTTTGCAGCGCAATTTTTAATAAAGCCATGTTAGTGAAGCTACAAAAATAGCGTTTGGCGTTGGTTAAGCTTTCCCCGTGCGAAAGGGAAAGATGCGACTCATTCTGCTGACGGTCTACCACACAGTGGGTAGCTACCTTTCATTGAATCAAGGCAGGTTTCCTGTGGTTCATGTTAAAGAATCGGAACTGTAGCCGCAACGATAGATCTTTCCGTACTGTTGGGAAAGAATAGGTGTCGTAAGTACATATATCGCAGCTTGCAGTCTATCGTTGTGGATGGGTAAACATTCGCGATAAGAGAGATTTCTCGACTGGCAAGATAAAATTCTGGAGTATTCGAGAAATATTACGTTTCATTTTTTAATTACTGTAATAATCTGAAAAAATGTATTCACAAAAAAACTTTAAGAGCGAAAGATGTACGTCGTTCAAAATATTTATATCAATCTATATAACATGTATTTTTTTCAATAATCTTGCGAGTCAAGACGGACTTAATCGCGATATCGACACCGCCTATTAAAACCATGACACGTGAAAAAATTTAATTATAACCGTAAGACCAGAACCAAATGAATCAATCGCAGTCAAGCATTCTTACTACGTTGTAAGAATACTTGATTGGTCGATTTGTATATGATTCTATAGTTATAATTAATTTTTTTTCACGTGACATGGTCTTTATAAAGGAAACACGAGCGCGTGACAAACACCTATATATACATATGTGTCAAATAAATGTGACGTATAATATGGAGTAGGACCTGGGGCGCGCGGTCCGTCAATATCCTGCCTGCAAAATTTCACCAAGGTACGCTGAGCTCGAATCATAAAAAACTAGACCCTCGTCATTCATACGTCGTATGTGCATGGTAGTATACTGAAGTATTAGGAAAGAAGTGTGAGAGAGTCAAACTTGAAAATAAAGTAGAACGGGATGCCAAAGAATAGAATAGTGAAGGGAATAGTAACGCTAACAAAATAAAATCGTGCGACAGATTTTTGAAGGATGAAATATTAGTCGCATATTTTTATCATTTTTATGGTGACATCTATCTGATCCTGCTCCGAGAGATGTGGAGAATAAATTATTATTGCATTCGCTTAGTGAGATGAGACAGACTCGGAAGGTAATTATTGTTACATGTGACTTCCTTTGTGAAAGAGAGAAATCTGATCAAAATGCACATAAAATTACAAAGTTTTATCTCTAATCAATCGGATGCTGAGACTGATAGGGCACATTCGGGATTGTCATTATTGATAGCTCAGAATAGTCGATCTTGTTAAATTGATGCATCCTTTTGCACTCGTCATAAAAAAGGATATTAAATAATGCTATTAAGAAATTATTAGATTCAAGATTTTTTAACGTTAAAATTTCACGAAAACGTTAACGTTATGAATTAATGCGAGTACAAAGGATCAATGTGAGTAATTACAAACTATCAAGTCGTACAGGGAAAGGCAAGCTCACTTTTGATAACAAAACTACTCACTGCGCTGCAACAGCGCTACGCTCTATTTTTTAAGGCATCTTTGGGAAGAACGGTGAAGGTTGCAGGGCCAGCAGCGATCGCTACAAGATTATCTCGTTCCTTGGCTTCCGCACGATAGACTAGCCAGATAAATAATCAATTAGAATTATAGTAATTTCAGTCGTTTGCTCGAATTGGGAATAAATTTTCGACAAAGATTCGATGGAACAATACACAAGTTTTGTATAATTTTTACGTTAACAATTTTTAAAGAATTTCGAAATAAAATTTCATAATATTATTTGTTTTGGTTTTTCTGATAGTGATGCATGCCATAATAGGAGAATGAGAAGATATAATTTTGAGGGGTTTGGGTGCACGGGATTTAAGAATTTAATTTTTAAATAATTTGCACATGTTTTGCTTTGAAAATTAAATCTAATGTGACACGATAATTCGGATATCACTTGTTAAATGTCACTTTATAATTATACCACGTTTGCAAAAAGCAAAAAGCAATAAGTTAAAAATACGGCGAAGCGTATCAGTCGTAAAAGCGTCTTGAGTACTCTTTTTTTGTTAAATATTCAAGATAATAAGAAAGCTTTTTAATGTCGATCGAGCGCGAATTGATCGTTAATCGAGTTATAAAAGCGTTTAATTAAATATGAAAATCGGTCGACAGATCCATACCAAATTAAACTATTTTAATCTTCGCTTCTCCGTGTTTTGCTGAAAATTGAAACAGACAGATCACAGTCTGGTCAGTTTGTGTTGTTTGCACAAACATGTTTCTTTATCTATATCTTTAATGACAACAAATGAGATAAAATATTTTTAGAGGGGTAATAAAAAAAAGCAGATGATAAAAGACAGGAGATACAAAACGTGACGTAAGGAACTTGATGTATTTTTTGATAAATAAAATTAAAATTTTAAAGCATAACCATTTTGTATATGTATATGACCTCCATAAAACTTTTACTTTTAATTGACTTGAGTTGCAAGGATTTGGGGAAAAACAGTGTCAAAAATTAGAAAGTTTCATTTCTAATTGCACAGAGACGGGATGAGGAGCTTATAATTACCTCTATATGTGTCACTAGCTAAAAAAAATAATAAATGAATAGCGGGATGAATAGACGAAATGATGAAATGTGCTACAGTAAAGCGCTACATGAGACTACGAAGCAGATTCGGAAGGGTTAGAAGCATTTCGTCACATGGTCTCCATAGTCCCCCATACAATTGCTCCCATCTAAACGGAAAATTAATAGCACAATTATCATCGTGAAACAATGATATTTAATGCGTCCGCGGGACGCCTCATTGCTATTGCAATTTATGACACCTGCTTAAGATTATTGCGCGCTGACACCTGTGAAAAGACGTCGTACTCGACGTTAAAGTATAGACGCCACAATATCTCATTAGACTTTATGTCTTGTGGCTAGTTATGTTCGCAATTTGCTATATAAATAAAGGAAAACAATACAAATTATCTCATTGATGCCAATCACTTTTGTGAGACATCTTTTTATGCCTAAAAATATATATAGATAGTTTTTATAGACTACCACTCATACGTATTTTTCGTGACCTAAAACGCTGATAAATACTATAAATCCTTTCAATGCTCTTTATGTACTTACTCCTGTCAATGTTGCGTTGCAGATGTGCAGCCACGCGATGTCTAGCATCATTGAACTCGAGATGCAATCCAAGTCGTAGCAACGTCGGATTTTGTTCTACCAATTGTGTGATTTCCATTTCGATCTTATTGCCCAGTACTTGTGACCTCTGAAAAATAATGTGAATATTAAGATTTCTTGGACGTTAATTTTATCAGGATCATTAAAACACAATTTTATATAATCTATCTACCTGGTTCGAACATCGAAATTCTTCGATGGATTTTGCCTTAAGAAGGGATCTGATCAGCCTTACTATCACAGGTGGACTTATGAAATTCGTCTCCACGCTGAAAAAAAGATATTAAACGTTAATGTTAAAACAATAACAGAGTTGCAGCGTGCGAACTTTTTACGCGAGAATATATAAAATACACACTTGAGTACTCTGAGTGTCGAATTCTTTTCTAAAGCATCGGCCAGCCGTTGTGCGGTCTTGTCGTTGAGTCCAACGTTAGTTAAACTTAGTGATTCAAGATGTGTGTTTATTTCCAATGCTTCAAACAACTGTACGAATTTTTCGTCTGAAATATTCTGCAACAAAACACCATTGTTAGCTCAATATAAAATGTATCGTTCTTCTTGCAAAAAATGTCTTCAATCGCTATTATTTACTTTAATATTGTTCCAGTTTAAGTCAATCAAAGCGGAGTCATCATCTCGCACTTGTTTAATGGTTGCATCGACGTCCGTGTCGTTGGGTGGCTCCGATGGATAAACTTTCGGTTGACTAGCTTTCGTCACTCCATCCCAGCCAAGCCCGACTGGTTGTCCAGAATTCAATAGAGACGCATGATATTGATCTTGATTCATCATGGAATGGAATCCAAGAATAGCTGAAAAGAGACGATTTCACATAATTGCTTATCTTTCAATTCCATCAATATAATATAATACTCTTGGAAATGACAGATCTTACCAGCAAGATCAATAATTTCTTCTTGAGTGGCAGCTGAAAGCGCTTGTTCGTATTCATCACCAAGATCTATCGCGATCTGTTCCTCTGCTTCCTTTTCTTTTATGGTCTCTTGTGGCGGAGGTATCCACTGAAATGGCACAATAATATACCATTGATACAAATATTGCACACAACTGCACCTTGACTTTCCACATATATTTTCTATCGCAATCATAATTTCAGACTTCAGATCTTTACAAGACTTGTATTAAAATAGTTATGCTATAAATATTATCATGTTTTAAATGACAGAGGAAATTATTTTTATAATTTGTATACACTCACTTTTTTCCCTCTAACTACACCAGGTACATATGGCTTCAATTCTGGAATATCAGGTGTCTCTAGAGCTTGTTTATTGATATGTTCAATGAGTTTCTTTCGATTTAGTGGCCCTGTAGGACTCTTGTTGCATTCGTAGCTGCAACGTTGCGAAGGTGGCATAAAGCTGTCCTATGAACATAATTTAAATTCGGTCACTTTGAAAAAACAATGAATAAAAAACACACCAGATTATTAATTATTTAAATAAACAGACTTACATCTGGGTCTACCTCCTTGGCCAGTATATTGAGTTCCTCCGGCGTGAGCTCTGCCAACAATTGATCCACATCAATGTCATCATACTCGCTCAGATCCTTGCCATACAGCTTGGCTGCTGTCGTCATGGTGGTTGTCTTGGTTGACGAGGAAGTCTGTAAATCATCCCAGGAGTTGTCATCAACAACCGAATGTTTCCTCGACATTGTGCAAAATTCTATGATATACAGTCAACTGCAAAACGATCCTATTTCGTATTTCAATAAACTCCACTATATTATGTAACAGCGTTCAATTATGATAATAGTCTATTGCGTTTAAGTATTATATAATCGCGAGAGAGAGACAGAGAGAAATGCGTTTACAGTCTCGCCGCTATAAACAAAGGGAAGCCCGTTATTGACGTTTCAGGCTAATTATCGCGGCGCCTGCCGGTCGGGTCGGATCAATTATTCAAGGGGTGCATTGACCGCGGAAAAAAAACGTCAATACAGGGCGCGTTCCGTCAAGTGGCCGACCGATTTATTTTCTCGCGGAAGCCGACAGGTCGTGCGTTCGCGATCGACTGATTCGATCGCGTCGATCATATGGCGCGTTGAAATTCGGCGAGCGTCCAAACACGACTGATGCCCTCTGACCCAGATAATTCGGGATCGATTTTCATTGACAACTCGGCTGCCAAATCGGCGACCAAAGCGAAATCCCGCGTGCCCCGCCCGGCTGACAGACGGGGGCCCTCTCGGACCTTCCCATTCCTTGGAACTCACTCGATAACGAGGATGATGCAGAATCGCGACCTTGCACGACGACGCGTGCCGGTGCGTGGATTAGATGCCCGCTTCGAGAGAAACGTCTGGATCCGGATAATCCTTACTCGCACGACGACAATGACGTACGGACGCGCGGGTTTCACTGACCAGCTCACCAGATCGCGGCAGCGCCCTTTTAACGCCGACAATGCGATTGCGTGAGGTCGATCCCGTGTCCGATGCGACTTGTCCAGATTCCGAGATTTTCCGAATCTGATTTATCAAAACTGATTCGCGCGATTTCTCACTCTCGGCACAGGTGGACCGAGGATAATCGGAAATTGCGGTCTGTCTTTTTTACGCGATGCGACACGATCGACGAGGTTTTGATTGCACGTCGCTTGGACAACTGCAACACGCGATGCTGGAAGGTGTTATGGCGAATGGAGTATACGTCAGTGGGAAGGCGGGAAATTCGAATCGCGTTGCACGAGTATAGATGCATTAGAAAATATTTTATGGGATATTAAATATTAATATTAATATATACCGAAATATTATTATATTCGCGGATGTTTTGGTAAAAATAGGCAATCTTTCGTGTAGAATAATTAAAAATAAATCCCATAAGTTGCTATACATTTTTATTCTATAATGCATCTTTATCGAGATACTTGTTTTTAAAGTTAACATTTGAAAAGTATAATTCTTGAATAACTCTTATATCACTCTGTAGATTGTAATTTGTAATAAATATTTTTATATTAAGTAAAAGTCTTTAACATAGTGATAAAAATTTCTTAATATCAAGTCGGAGAGCCAGGGACGGATCATCTTCAAATTTTTAAATTTATAAAACTTTTTACCAAATGTCTTTTATTTTTAAGTGTTTTTTTAGATTCTTCACATCTTTTTCTAAGAAAAAATATTCTTGTTTTATTTCATAAGTTATCTGTTTTCGAGAAAAATAGATTTAAACGATCTAAATAAACTTTTATTCAAATATAGAACAATGATTTTGAATAAAATGGTATAAAATTATATTGGGTATGTTAAAACTCATTGAAATGAAATAAATTTAGCCAAAATTATATACAAAAAAATGATCTCTAATTTTAAATTAAAATTAAATTAAAATTTTACTTTCTAATTTAAAGTTAAAATTTAAGAAGTTACATTTTTTTGTAATTTTGACAAAATTTATTTCGTTTTAATAAGTTTTAACACAATCAATACAATTTCATATCATTTTATTCAAAATATTAATTATTCCATTATCTGCAAAAGTTTATTTTGTATCGTTTAAATAAATGTGTTTTTCTCTAAAATAATTAATTTTACGAAATAAAATAAAAGTCTTTTTTTAGAAAAAATGTGAAGAATCCAAAAAAGCACTTAAAAATTTTAAAAATATTTGTTGAAAAGTTTGATGTTAAAAGACTTTAAAAAAATCCATCCCTGATTCTCCGATATGATATCAAGAAATTTGTCATGCTACTTTAAAGAACTTTACTTCATATAAAAATAATTATTACAAATTATCAAAATCTACAGAATAATATAAGAATTATACAAAAAATACTTTTCAAATAATTTTAGAGACAAGTATCTCGATAAAGATGCATTACAGAAGAAAATTTTATAGAAACTTGGAAATGAAATTATTTTGATTTATTCTACATATCTATAATATACATTATAATGCATAATATATATTGATTATAAATATATATTGTACATATTATATAAATTTATATAAATATATATAAAAATTATATATGCAATTTTTGTATATTTATAAATTATCATTTATATCATATATAATTATTATTTAGATAAATGAAATTTTTCAACACAGATTTTAAGCTTTAATTTCGAGATGATAAAGAAAGAGAGAGAGAGAGACAGAACTCAATAAATATTTTAATATAAAAAAATATTTGACAAATCTTCAGCTAGTTTGTATGTACTTTACAACAAGAAGATTATTGGCATAAATTCTGAAAAAAAACTGCCATATGTCAGGGACTGTGTTCTTGATTTTAAATTAATATCTGCAATCTACAATTCCGACTTAGATCCTCGACTTGAATTTTTATTTAAGAGAGTCATACATTATATTCAATAATTCATCAAATAATAATAATATTGACATGACGTTACATTACATGCAGAATCGAATCGTCCTCGATTGAAGCCTCTCACTTCTTCTAACAATAAGCAAAAGTCTTCCGCAATATGATTACCCTTTCTACTATTATAAATCATGAATATCCTCATTGTTAATATTAAAGCTAGCTTGAATATATGATTGCATCAGAGGCTGCAGAGATAATACAAAAGAACGATACAAAACACAGCTACCTCGAAAAGATCTCAAGATTTCCAACATATCAATATACAGTCGCATTCTTCTTGCTTTCATGAATGAAAAATGCGCTGACATGACGTCTCGATTGATAATTCCCGATGCATTTCTCTATTACGATTTCAGCCTTTATTTAGCATCGCTGTCGATATCTAAGTATCATTCTCATCAGCGTATCGTTTGTTTTAAGATGCACCGTGCATCGCTCAATTTTTTTCGTATTCAACATGTGTGCGTCGCGAGTGGGTACAAATTTATCCACGTGTGCATCCGGTAATGCGCAAAACCATGCAGAACAAGTCATCCGCATATTAATCAAGTCCCACAGTCCTCGTTCCACGATTGACCGTGAAACTAGCACGTGAATCCAAGTTGCCAAAACCGGCAATTCCCCTTCCTATCGCCCATTCCTCCCTCTTTTTTCCTCGCATCCCATTCCTCGTGCTCCTACTTCGATCACGTAATCCGCGGAGTCTCGACATTGACATAATCGACCTGCTTCGACGCCGTTCAAGGTCACCCGGTGAGAGTAGGCTCTCGGGCAAGATTTGGTATCGGACCAGGCAAGGTGATGCGAAGAAAGGGATGATCGGGGATTCTCTAGGGCGAGATCGCCATCTCCGTGATCGCGATCCGGATCGGAGTGCCGTCCATCGCTCGGTTAGTAGCGGCGACAGCCCTCAAAAATAGCTGAGGCTTCCTCGCTGAGACTGGCACCCTCCCAACGGGCTATACTTGGACATACCCGCGTACACGATTATTTATAGTGAGCGCGAAAGCGCGGCCACTGGCCTTCTTACGAACTAACCAGCCACGACGACCAGCCGAAGAGACATTCCGCCGCCCGTGACCTAGGCCCGCATTAATAACGACACCACCCTTGCTTTGCCTTGCCTTGCCTTGCCTCCCGACCGCGACGAGAAACTTAGCACTTTGCACTCGTCGGCGAGCGCGGCCGCGTCAACACCTTTCTCTTTCGCGATTCCGAACTCTCAAAAATCTTCTCCTTCGTGGCTGGTGACTCTCTTTAAGCTCGCTAGTTGCCGAACAATAAGAGGTTCCTTCATCAATCGCTTTAAGATTTTCAAGTTGGTCTGCGTTTGGTTTTTCCATGTTTAGCTACGCATATTCTGGAATTTAAAATTTTTGAATTCGAAGTCTACCAAATAATTACTCCCAAATAATTACTCCAAATAATTACTCCCAAGAGCGACAAATGCAGAGAACATGAACAGTAGGAAACTTGAAAAGTCCTGAGAAGATGGATTAACTGTCCGATTTGAATGCGCTACTAAAAATATATCACCTTTCCCACGAGACATCGAACGTAATTTCTTATTTTCTTTAGTGAAATCTACCAGAACAACCAGACGATCATCATAAAAAAAGTCAAAGATACGAAAGTTACAAGCGATGCGAAGCACATCTGTCCGAGATATTTTTATCCAAATTTCCACAGTATATTTTCAATGTTAAGGTAATATTTAAAGACCGAGAGACACTATAGAAGACGATCTATCTTGCATCAATGTCACTTAAAGATGACAGAGATCGAGCAATTACTTTCCAGCCATCTATAATAATTTTATTCGATTTCTCTAAAATTTCAGAGATTGCTCTTTTTTATTTTTTTTTTATTTATAAACTTTCCAACAAAACCTATAAATTCGCTTCTTACGAAGCGGAGCGGTAGAAAACGCAACCAAGTTTTTTCCTTTCGGCTGACGGGAAAGCAAGTCACTCACGCATCTTGCTCGTTCGCAAACAAATTGAATAGCAACATGTCTATATATAAGACTAATTTTTTTCTAACGGCACTTAATCATCCAACAGATGCGAGAAGTGAGAGCTGCGAGATCTGCCTCATCGAACATGACGATAACTTTCCTCGATACATCTCTATTATTTTTGATCCTTTTTTTCGTTTGACAAGTGTGCCATCTCAATTAACTCGAGAAGAAAAAACCAACGTATTAGAAAAAAATAAGGATAATCTAATATAAATATATCCCGTTAATTAGAATTCTTCCTATCAATG